TGATCTGAAACCTGTTAGCTGTCCAGGAACTCCACCTCTCTGCAAACTCTTTTACGGGGTATAGAGTGGTGCAGGAATGAGTCCTAAAACCAGGAAGTGAGTCAGCATTTCTCCACTTCCTGTTCCCTCGTCTGAGAGCCAATGGGATCTCTCCATAGGGTTTAGAAAGTAGCTGGAAATAAGGTCTGTGGTTGAGACACATGGAAGAGACGGGTCACGTTTTGTTCTAGGACATTAAATCCATCAGCAGTGACCCCACTGGTGATTTCTGAAGAGTTGACGTGTCTGAAAAGCGATGGTTGTTACCAAGTGGCTGAATAGGACTACAGAAGTCGTGGAGGACGTTGTACGTCATTACGCCGAACACGTGAACACTCCTCTAAGTTAGTTTGCCCTGTTCTGCTTGAAAGCAAGTCCCTGCCTCCTGCAAAGTGTTCAAACAAACGCTTCAACTCGTACCATTTAGAATCTGTGTGTTTGAATATGGATCTGAAGTTGGCGTGACGTTGAAGTCGTGCTGCTGGACTTGCCTGTAGTTCCTTTATAGCATCACGTTAGCATTTAGCTTCTGGAGATTAGAGTTATGATTAGAACATTATAAAAGTAGACATGTGGAGATTATCCTGAACAAAACTTGCATTTATCAAACAGGTTCGTTTTCCACAGACCTTATTTCCAGCTATTTTCCTAAACCCTCTGGAGAAATCCCGTTGCTTTTAGTGGAGGGAACCAGCAGCTTCCTTCAGGGTCGAACTACACAAACACGTCCTCCCTGCACCGCTCTATAGCAAAACCTGCCTCTGAACACTCACCTGATCTGAATCACAACCGGATGTGTGTGTGTTCACTGGCATCAGCTCCTAGAAATGGATTTCTCTGAGTTGTTGCTCCCAGAAATCCTAAAGCTCATTCCAGCTTCTCTATAAACTCATCCCTCTTCTTCTCTCTCTGCTGCTTCAGTCCTGCTGTGCATCTCTCATCTGCTCGGGGGGGATTGAACCGTCAGAGTGGGGTCATACAGATCTGAATATTACAGAGCGTTTATTACAGAGAGTCTGCAACACATCAGGATTCTGTCCTTCGGTTGCTCGTTGTGTTAGCGTAGCATTAGCATCACACCTTGTTTCTCACTTCCTGTTGCTCTTTGTGTTAGCGTAGCATTAGCATCACACCTTGTTTCTCACTTCCTGTTGCTCTTTGTGTTAGCGTAGCATTAGCATCACACCTTGTTTCTCACTTCCTGTTGCTCGTTGTGTTAGCGTAGCATTAGCATCACACCTTGTTTCTCACTTCCTGTTGCTCGTTGTGTTAGCGTAGCATTAGCATCACACCTTGTGGGGGGTTCTCACTTCCTGTTGCTCGTTGGTGTTAGCGTAGCAGTAAGCCACCTTCATCCCACTTCCTTGCCGTTGTGTTAGTCATCACACCTTGGTTTCTCACTTCCTGTTGCTCGTTGTGTTACCGTAGCATTAGCATCACACACTTGTGTTCTCACTTCCCTGTTGCTTCAGTTGTGTAGCGTAGCAGTTAAGCATCACACCCTTGGTTTCTCACTTACCCGGTTGCCCGGTGTGTTAGCCGTAGCATTAGGCAATCACACCTTGTTTCTCCACTTCCTGTTGCTCGTTGTGTTAGCGTAGCATTAGCATCACACATTGTTTTCTCACGTCCTGTTTGCTTGTGTGTGTTAAGCGGTAGCATTAGCATCACACCATTGTTTCTCACTTCCTGTTGCTCGGTGTGTTAGCGTAGCATTAGCAACACACCTTGTTTCTCACTTCCTGTTGCGCGTTGTGTTAGCGTAGCATTAGCAATCACCACCTTGTTTCTCACTTCCTGTTGCTCGTTGTGTTAGCGTAGCATTAGCATCACACCTTGTTTCTCACTCCTGTTGCTCGTTGTGTTAGCGTAGCATTAGCATCACACCTTGTTTCTCACTTCACTGTTGCTTTCGTTTGTGTTAGCGTAGCATTAGCACATCACACCTTGTTTCTCACTTCTCTGGTTGCTCGTTTGTGTTAGTCGTAGCATTAGCATCACACATTTGCTTCTCACCTTCCTGTTTGCTTCGTTGTGTAGCTAGCATTAGCATCATCCCCATTGTTTCTTCTCACTTCCTGTTGCTCGTTGTGTTAGCGTAGCATTAGCATCATCACAGCACCCCCCTTGCTGTTTACACCTTGTTCTCACTTCCTGTTGCTCGTTGTGTTAGCGTGAGCATTAGCTCACAGCCTGTTTCTCACTTCCTGTTGCTCGTTGTGTTGTAGCGAGGCATTCGCATCACACCTTGTTTCTCACTTCCTGTTGCTCGTTGTGTTAGCGTGGCATTAGCATCACACCTTGTTTCTCACTTCCTGTTGCTCGTTGTGTTAGCGTGGCATTAGCATCACACCCTTGTCCTCCATTCTCCTGTTGCTCGTTGTGTTAGCGTGGCATTAGCATCACACCTTGGTTCTCACTTCCTGTTGCTCGTTGTGTTGCGGTGGACATTAGGCATCACTACCTTGTTTCTCACTTCCTGTTGCTCGTTTGTTAGCGTAGCATTAGCATCACACCTTGTTTCTCACTTCCTGTTGCTCGTTGTGTTAGCGTAGCATTAGCATCACAACCTTGTTTCTCACTTCCTGTTTGCTCGTGCGTTAGCGTAGCATTAGCATCACACCTTGTTTCTCACTTCCTGTTGCTCGTTGTGTTAGCGTAGCATTAGCATCACACCTTGTTTCTCACTTCCTGTTGCTCGTTGTGTTAGCGTAGCATTAGCATCACACCTTGTTTCTCACTTCCTGTTGCTCGTTGTGTTAGCGTAGCATTAGCATCACACATTGCTTCTCACTTCCTGTTGCTCGTTGTGTTAGCGTAGCATTAGCATCACACCTTGTTTCTCACTTCCTGTTGCTCGTTGTTTAGCGTAGGCATTAGCATCACACCTTGTTTCTCACTTCCTGTTAGCTCTTGTGTGTTAATCGTAGGCATTAGCATCACAACCTTGTTTCTCACTTCCTGTTGCTCGTTGTGTTAGCGTAGCATTAGCATCCAACCGTGTTTTCTCACTTCCTGTTGCTGCGTTTGGTTAGGCGTAGCATTAGCATCACACGTTGTTTTTCACTTCCTGTTGCTCGTTGTGTTAGCGTAGCATTAGCATCACACCTTGTTTCTCACTTCCTGTTGCTCGTTGTGTTAGTGTAGCATTAGCATCACACCTTGTTTCTCACTTTCTGTTGCTCGTTGTGTTAGCGTAGCATTAGCATCACATCTTGTTTCTCACTTCCTGTTGCTCGTTGTGTTAGCGTAGCATTAGCATCACACCTTGTTTCTCACTTCCTGTTGCTCGTTGTGTTAGCGTAGCATTAGCATCACATCTTGTTTCTCACTTCCTGTTGCTCGTTGTGTTAGCATCACACCTTGTTTCTCACTTCCTGTTGCTCGTTGTGTTAGCGTAGCATTAGCATCACACCTTGTTTCTCACTTCCTGTTGCTCGTTGTGTTAGCGTAGCATTAGCATCACATCTTGTTTCTCACTTCCTGTTGCTCGTTGTGTTAGCGTAGCATCACACCTTGTTTCTCACTTCCTGTTGCTCGTTGTGTTAGCGTAGCATTAGCATCACACATTGCTTCTCACTTCCTGTTGCTCGTTGTGTTAGCGTAGCATTAGCATCACACCTTGTTTCTCACTTCCTGTTGCTCGTTGTGTTAGCGTAGCATTAGCATCACACCTTGTTTCTCACTTCCTGTTGCTCGTTGTGTTAGCGTAGCATTAGCATCACACCTTGTTTCTCACTTCCTGTTGCTCGTTGTGTTAGCGTAGCATTAGCATCACACCTTGTTTCTCACTTCCTGTTGCTCGTTGTGTTAGCATAGCATTAGCATCACACCTTGTTTCTCACTTCCTGTTGCTCGTTGTGTTAGGGTGGGCATTAGCATCACACCGTGTTTCTCACTTCCTGTTGCTCGTTGTAGGTTAGCGTGCATTAGCATCACACCTTGTTTCTCACTTTCTGTTGCTCGTTGTGTTAGCGTAGCATTAGCATCACATCTTGTTTCTCACTTCCTGTTGCTCGTTGTGTTAGCGTAGCATTAGCATCACACCTTGTTTCTCACTTCCTGTTGCTCGTTGTGTTAGCGTAGCATTAGCATCACATCTTGTTTCTCACTTCCTGTTGCTCGTTGTGTTAGCGTAGCATCACACCTTGTTTCTCACTTCCTGTTGCTCGTTGTGTTAGCGTAGCATTAGCATCACACCTTGTTTCTCACTTCCTGTTGCTCGTCCCCTCAGGTTCGAAGGACAAAGTAGCCGCTCCCCTCCGACTCTCTGAGGGTCCGTCCTCCTCCTCCCTTTCTACCTCAGAAATATCCCCGTCTTCCCCCAAAACCTCAGAGGAAAACAGATCCAGATCGCACAGCCCCAGGAAGACGGAGAGGGAACACAGCGGGTCTCTGGAGGACATGAGGAAGGACGTGAGGAAGGACATGAGGAAGGGTCAGAGGGACCATCATCATCATCACTCCTCGAGCCCCAGGAAGACCTCCAAGAACCAGGAGGAGCCGCAGAGGGAGAAAAACCCGGGGATCGGAAAGTCTGACGGTGACGGGACCCTCGGCAGGAGGAGAACGAAGGAGAAGGAGGAGAAAGAGAAGGAGGAGGTGAAGAAAGAGAAGGAAAAGGAGGAGGTGAAGAAAGACCCCAGAGGATCCAGTAGCAGCAGCATTAATGATCCTGGGTGCAATGGGATCAATAAGAAGACCCCCACCATCTCCCCGGGGCCCTGGAAGGTGCCCAGCTCCTCAAAGGTCCACAACCAGGAGTCCAGCTACGCAGACATTTAGAGTTAGAGCGTTAGAGGGATGTCAAACCCGCAAAACGATCGATTTTAATTAAAAGACTCGCGAAGTGTGTTGCCGTCCTGAAGAAATCTCACATGCGTCCCAGATATCTGACGCGCTTCCTGCGAGAATTAGAGCGATATAAAACCCGCAAAATGATCGTTAAATTAAATGTGAAAGACTCACCAAGTGTGTTACCGTCCTGAAGAAATCTCACCTGAATCCCCGGTGAATAAAGACTCCGAAACATGTAGAGAAGTTGAAGATAAATGAAGGAAATTGGGGAGACAGAAGTACATACTTGATAAAAAGATGGTTAACTAGAGGTGGTTCTGTGAGACGAAGGAATACATCACCAATCATCGCCAAAAGTTTTCATAATGGATGTATTGTTAAGGTATCATCACATGCAAACATGTTCAATAACGAGATGCATCTTTATGAAGAAATGTTGATGCTTTTGCAAAAAGTGTAGTACCACAAAATGGTTTTAACATTTATAATTTGAATGTATACATAAACACCGTTCTGCTGAGCATGCTACGCTAACTACAAGCCTCTTGGAGCCACTCTGGAAGTGGTCAAATAACTTCGATAAAAGTCAGATTTCTGAGAAAAAAGTAATCATTTAAAAAATAAATTCTGAATAAAAAAAGTCAAACCTTAGAAGAAAGAAGATTTTGAGAAAAACATTTGAAAGACGTCAGAAATCTGAGAAATATTTAAAATATCTGAGAAAAAGTACATTTTGAGCAAAAATTCTGAAATCTAAGGAAAAAGTAAATAAAATAAAAAAGTCAGAAATCTGAGAAAATATTAAGAATCCTGATTTTATTTTTTTAACAAATTTGAATGAATTTGAAAAAACCCAATTCTGAAAAAAAATTCAAATCTTACATTTTGAGAAAAAAGTACATTTTGAAGCAAAAATCCAGAAATCTAAGAATTGGAGAAAAAAAGTAAAAAATTGGGAGAAAGAAAAGTGAAATATTAGAAAATATCAGTTTTGAGAACAAACCAGTGCAAGAAGTGAAGATCTGTCCCTAACCCTGTCTGGTGCTCGGTTCATGCACTGATAAATAATTGTTGGGGAAATCTAAGAAAAGTTCAAAGTGCTGCGAAGAAAAGTAAATTTTGAGCAAAAATGTAAAATTCTGAGGAAAAAGTAAAAATCGTAGAAAAAAAACCCACCGTTCTGCTTCTTATGCTACGCTAACGCTAGCCTCTTTTACAGGCGGTAACACTTGGTGAGTAATGAATATGCCAATGATCATTTTGTGGGCAGACGCACATTAATTATTGAAGGATGTTTGTAGTTATGTTTGCCACCTCGGAAAAGCAGATCACTGTGTAGCCGCTCACTACTTCTGATTTATTTGAGTTATTCTTTTAGTTATTCTTAACCCAGTTCGCCTCGGTCCGATCGGGAGGATTTGTACCGTATGAAGATATTTTTTTGGGGGGTGGTTGAGATTTTGTGCCAATCAGAGACTCCGGTTAATCTGAAGCTGCTACGACGGCGACTCACTGTGAGAAAAAAAACCAAATCCATGTTGGTCATTTTGAAGGATTTAAACATGCAGATTCTCTTCCAGGTGAGAAGCTCTGGAGAGTGAAGCGTTTCCTAAAATCAGCTGCAAAACGCCTGCAGCTTTGGACTGTTTTCATGCAACAGGAGAGACTTTGACTTTGAAGGAGCTTTATATGCATCAATCAGCAGACCAGATACTTGTGGATAAACCTCTACTGTTTGTTAATAATGCAGCATAATGTAATTTATTGAAATGTAATGTACACATGTCCATGCTGAGTCATTGTCTAGGCCGTTGTTGCACCTGTCGGCCACCGTGAGAAATAGATTGTGTAGTTAAAATAAGAATCTATGCACTCTATTTCTACGTTTGCATCTGTGTGTGTGTTTACCAGCTTATTTTAGATATGGACTATAACCCCAGAAACATATACTATTATTTAACAAAGTGATTACACGTATATCGGCACATAATTTAGATTAATGATCAGAAATAAGAGATATTTTTCACAAGGCACAAACACTCATTCTAACCTCCAAGATCTACGTCTGATTTCTTGTTTTATTTACTATATGATCCATAATGTGAGAACCAATACATGTTGACATCACAGCTGTCCTGTTTGTGTTATCAATACATGCAGACTCCCTAAAAATGAAGGTCATTTTACAGAAAACGGAGTCACAAAATGCTTCAGTGTGCAAAATGTGAGAATCTGAATCTACTTTTGTGAATCAAATGTAATCAAAACAGGGATTTACCTTCCAGATGAAAAGTGTATATTTTTAATTTATTGGGATTGTTGTGTAGTGTGGAGTGCGGAGACATCTAGTGGCTCATAATCAGAAGTAATTTATTGTAGATATGACGGGCTGCTCTCTGATATCGTGGCCTTGCATTGCTCCAACATATTATATATATAAATAATAAGACATATCTTTTAGTTTTGACATCCTGGTAGTTGTAAATGTTGTACAGCACATGTATAAATATTTGCCTCATGCAGAAATAATCCTCTGTAAATGGTTTCATTATTTTTTTAAGGGAGCTTGAGAGGAAGTGATATAAAAAATATGGGGTGAAAAAAATAAAGATCTGTCATGGCGCTCGGTTCATGATAAATAAAGGTTTACTGAATAAAACGGGACGGAGCGTTTGTGTGTTTTTTTTAAGTGAATTTAGGAAAGCAGAAATCTGACGAGACGTTTTTGAGAAAAATAGGAGAAAAAAGTGAGAAATCTGAGAAAACTATCGGAATCGGAAAAAAGTAAATTCTGAATAAAAAAGTCAAATCTAAGAAAAAAATACAATTTTGAGAAAGATGTCAGAAATCTGAGAAATAATTTGAAAATCTGAGTAAAAAAGTCAAAATTCTGAGAAAAAACTCAAAAAGATTGATAAAAAAGTCAATTCTGAAGAAAAAAACAAATTCTGAAAAAAAAGTCAAATCTTAGAAAAAAGTACATTTTGAGAATTGTTTTTGCATGATGTCAGAAATCTGAGAAATAATTCAAAAATCTTAGAAAAAAAGTAAATTCTGAAAATAAGTCAATATTCTGAGGAAAAGTTACATTTATAAAAAAAAAAGTCAACAATTGTGAAAAACAGTTGGTAAAAGAAATAAAGATCTGTCATGGTAAATAAAGGTTTACTGAATAGAACGGGACGGAGCGTTTGTGTTTTTTTAAGTGGATTTAGGAAAGCAGAAATCTGACGAGACGAGAATAAGTCAATTCTGAATAAAGAAGTCAAATCTTAGAAAAAAATACAATTTTGAGAAAGAAATTAGAAAGCTGTCAGAAATCTGAGAACAAATTCGAAAATCTGAGTAAAAAAGTCAAAATTCAGAGAAAAAACTCAAAAATGTTGATAAAAAAGTCAATTCTGAAGAAAAGTCAAAAAAGTACATTTTGAGAATTGTTTTTGCATGATGTCAGAAATCTGAGAAATAATTCAAAAATCTTAGAAAAAAAGTAAATTCTGAAAATAAGTCAATATTCTGAGGAAAAGTTACATTTATAAAAAAAAAAAGTCAACAATTGTGAAAAACAGTTGGTGAAAGAAATAAAGATCTGTCATGGCGCTCGGTTCATGATAAATAAAGGTTTACTGAATAAAACGGGACGGAGCGTTTGTGTTTTTTTAGGGAGTGGATTTAGGAAAGCAGAAATCTGACGAGACGAGTATAAGTAAATTCTGAATTAATAAGTCAAATCTTAGAAAAAAATACAATTTTGAGAAAGAAATGAGAAAGATGTCAGAAATCTGAGAAATATTTCAACATTCTGAGAAAAACATAAATTCTGTAAATAAATACAAATAAAAGTCATAATTCTCAGAATAAAGTACATTTTGAGGAAAAATTCATTTCTGAGAGAAAAGTAAGAATTGTGAGAAAAAAAAGGCAAGAATCTGAGAAAAATACATTTCTCAAAAAAAAGTACTTTTTGAGCAAAAAACTCATGAATCTGAGAACTCAAAAAATGTATTAAACTTTTGGTCATATTAAAAAAATTAAAAATTAAAAAAATTCCCACATGGCCCTCATCCTCCAAATTAATGCATGGGCACTTTCTGTGAAGCACCTTCAGAGTTTGTTTTGTTTTTAAAGAGTGCTTTATTTAAATTAATCTATTATTATCTAGAGGAAGTCATGGGCCTTTTCTCATTTCACTAATTTCCCCTCCTCGACTCCTCGGTCCTCCGGTAGTGACCCGGAAATGGATTTCAGCGCGCCATGTTGAAGGATATCTAATTTCTCTAAATGCACTTCGAGGACCGAGCATCGAGCGTCGAGGAGGCTCTCTGGAGGAGCTATAATCGAGGAGAGGAGAGAGGAGAGAGGAGAGAGGAGGCTCTCTGGAGGAGCTATAACCGAGGAGACACTGATGGGTCCTCCGTGCCAGTTCGCAGCTCCTCCTTGGATGCATTTCCGGCAACAGAGATGTTTCAAAGAGTCGTGACCATAGACTGTGGGTGTTTCTCAATGTCGAGTACGAGTCTGCCAAGCATCTTGCTTCAGAAGCGAGTCAAGAATACTTCCTGGCATTCGGAAAACAAAGAGTGGAACACGCTAGCAAGTGTGCAGGTGTGCGTCATATGAGAGGCCCCGCCTCTTACATCTTCCGCCACAGATTTGGGGAAATTGGTCCGTGCGCAAAGCATTGTGGGGATTTTAAGACCGCGGAGTCTACTCATGTGCAGCCTCGATATTTCTCCAAACGGAGTACGCCGGGCTCGGTAGATTTCCAAGTATGCTGGAGATTGGAACAGTACTTCGGCGGCACTCTGACGTAGTATGCTTGAAATAGTGGCTCTGAAGCAGCTTTACTCGCGATTGAGAAACACCCTGAATATATAAATGGACGTAGGGTCCGTGACGTCACCCATAGGATTCTGCAGAGTTGCCGAGAAGCCCTTAGTAGGCGGAGTCGGCCACTAACGGCTCGACAGTGACGTCTGAGTCTAACTCCCGCCTGCTCCCGCCTGCTCCAAATAAGGGCAAAGAGGCTGAGCCGAGGCGGGACCTGCTGCCTCCGAGCTGGAAGTAATGGCGCATTTCCATTGCAGCGCGTAGCTCGCTTTAAGCGTGCCGTGTCGTGCCGTCCCCTTTTTTGGTTGTGCTTCCACTAGGCCTCGTTCCGGCGCGGCACGGCGCGGGGCCACTTTTTCCCCTCTTTCTGGCCCTAGAAAATTGTGGTTCTATCGGGGCCAACAAACAGGGCTGAGTCGGGCTGAGTATGCTAAACTAGAGAGAGGAGCGCTGGCAAGAGGGCTAGAACTACAACAAGATGGACATATTTGACCGTGATTTAATTGTAATACACGTTTTCAAAATGATGCCGAAAGTAACAACATACTGATACCGGTTAGTAAAAACCATGAATTAATGCTTTGACAAGTCTGCAGACAGACGGCAGGCGAAAAACCTTTAAAATGCGTGTTTTCTAAATGGAGATTGGCTAAGCTAACGCAGTATATGCTCCGACCGTCCACACTCACAACAACGGCCTATATAGACATAAATAAAGCAGCGACTGTATTCACCATGACACAGGCAGTCTGTGGTTTGTACTTGTTTCACTTTTGTCGAGTTTCTGAACATATATAAGGAGCTGTGAGCTCTGAGTGCTCACAGCTAACGGCTGTGTTGTGTTTCTGGATTTCTCATTGAAGATGACGTCACGGCTCCGCCTACACTGCGTTACTATAGTAACTACCCCCAGTTCCTAAACTGTAATGGAAAGCGCAGCATGAAGTGAGTCGGCCCAACGCGGCCAATGCCGTACCGAGCCGTACCGAGTGTGGCCGAGGCCGACCGTGTGTAGTGGGAAATGCGCCCATAACAGAGCTAGCTCAAGCTAGAAGCTAAGCTAACAGCTCCCCATCTGCCACACTGCCGTCACATTTTACGTTTCTAAGGTAAGCGGGACATGAGACTATTCAGCAAAACCTATAAATAATAATCTAAGTTATTGAGTTTTTAGCATAATACTTCAGAATCTTAAAATCCCTTAACGTTTGTATGCAATGTGCTAAATGCAACACTGGAATCAAGCAAATATTAATATGTTAGCAAAATATAAATAACTAATGTCATGCAATCACTTAATTATACGTTTAATACATTTAAGTCAAGCTAAGGTGCATGTGATGGTAGCTAGTTAGTGCTCTTACCTGTGAGGCCTCCTCCAAACAGCATAATAACCAGACTGTATCATTAAAACTATAAGTACCAGTTCTAGATCCTTGACTTTAGACAAACAATTCAAAAGACAAAATGTATTTAAAGACCAATCTTTATTTGAAGGTGCCTCTTAACCTGAGATATTAGTTATACAGTAATAGTATTGACAATCTAAAAAAAACTGAGCAACTCAACAGTCAACTTTATATTTCTTATTGTCTAAAGCATTTATTATTTTCATTTTCCCCTCTCATATTCAGTGTGGACGGATTGAGACAGCGTGGTGTCCAGAGAGCTGCAGAGACTTCAGAGAGAAACCTCCGTGTGATGGACGTCCAGTCTGTTGGTTGGAGAGGACTGAGGGTCGTTCCTCTGCGAGGAGGACCAGGCCTGATGGAGGAGCCCATGCTGATACCACCTGATCAGGCCTAGTCTGTCACTTTATTTGACTACATGTGTTTACTTATACATTTAATAGGTTTACACCTTCTGTCCATATGTGCTTTTTATTTAAAACATGTTTGATGAACTTTTGGTTCACATTTCAATAAATTGTATTTGTATTTGCACTCCTTTTGTCCATTATTCTTACTGAAAATGTTAGATTACACATTCACATCTGACTGAAGATTGGCCCCATTTATTTGTGACGTTGCAAACTCTGCGGTACAAGGTACATGTTGTGAAGCTCATAAAGTGAGGCAAATAGAAATAATCAGCTGATGGAGTGTAGATGTGGAAATAGGTGCATTCGATCAGCTGACTTCACAATAAAGTAGTTTCTTAGTGAATGTCCTGTACTGGTCTTAACATCTCATAACATCAGCTTTTAATTTTCCTCTTGGATGTTCTTCTTGACCCTCAGAGAAGGAGAAAATGTTGAGTCGTGTCTTTCAGGCATGTCCTTTCCTAACAAAAATTACAGGAAACATAAAACATGTTATTGCAGAACAAGTGTGTTCAAACAATTAATAATTGTAATGTTTTTTTTTATTTCAACAGTGAGCTACAAAGACAATCAGATTATGAATGAACAGTATGAAATTCATCAACATTGAAATATATTTTATTATCAAAATAATATTGAACTGTTATCAAAACGTAGTGGAACTGTAGAAGCTTGCTCTGTTGTCTCACTGAAAGAATCACTTTTACCACGTTTTTACAGACAATATTGAGAGATAAATAGCAGTTCTCACTATGCGTTAAATATCTTTGCCTTCAATACATTAAATTAGGCCCCGGCTCCACGAGGACAAATACGGCAAAACGCATCGGAGTAACGCAAATGCAACCGCAAAAAACCTTCCGTCCCCACGCAATATACACCGGATTGTGTCAAGCTCCACGAGACGGCTCCGTTTACATCCAAACGCTGGAAAAGCTGCAGTACATATGCCGAACCTGTACGTGGCGCTGTAACTTCCTCCACAAAAGCAGCAACTTCCTCCACAAAAGCA